GGGGGGGGGAGATCGACAAAATACAAGTCCCTCGTTTGCTCTCTCAGGTCATCACCGCCTACTTTCATCCGCACGCCCTCGGTACCCTTTACGGATGTTAGTCGACGGAAGACGGAAGATCCCGTGGCATGCGCGATTCTTTGCACACGTCGGCTACTCTTTTCAGAGAATGCCCAACGGGCCTCCTCCGGTGAATTGCTGTCCACAGTGTATATACGAGTAGGTATGTGTGTACCTTATGTATCATCGTGGCGTAGTCGAGCCGTGCCGCTTCCCGCCATGGTAGCAGCTATACCTACCTGCTATACGCTACAGTCGCGCGCCACACGATTAGAATGGAGACGTGGAATCATGGCGATAAGAACCGATTCGTCGACCTGCCTCTTTTGTTCCGGCTGGCAAACAGAAAAGAGGGGGGAGGGAGGGGAAACGCTCACCGACATTCTTCCTTGCATCTTCCAAGCATCGCCCGCCCTAACGCTTCCCCCGGGCCGACCCATACGCTTCGTACTCCCATACTCGGTTACGGAGTGGTTGCCACATAATTACATAGTTGCCGCACTCTTCCGCGCTGGACATTCAGATAGATTTATCTACGTGTACCTTAGACGACCGCCACGGGTTGAGTACTTCGTGCGAATAAAACAACATCACACCTACACCCACTGTGCGAATGGATAGATACTTGATGCCACCGGCACTGCCGTCAAGGCGCATCCTACCTAGGTACTTTGGACTTTGCACAAACGCCAACAGTAAGTACATGTACATGTACGTTGTAGGTAGTAGGATTCCGGATGTCGGATGTCGGATGTTTCGAAGTGCCGGAGTGAGAAGCAGGAATTAATGATGGCGGGCGGATATGACGATGTGCGCCGTGCGTTTGAGGCCGGGAGAATACTGTACATGATTCTCGGTTAACATCCAATCAAGCTCTCGTAATGATAATCGACGCATCGTGTAACAAGAGTCGCGTGTCACATGGCGGGTCTACCAAACACGCTGCCGCCAACGTCTCTGTCTCACCGGTGTCATCATCCCTCAAGAAACGGATCAGCTTCTCATTTCCCTCGCATGGCAGCCCTGCTGCCATTGACCGCCCTAGGTACTGTTCTCGACTTTTCTCGACGGGGGATGTGCCTGGTAGAAACGAAAGCCGGGGGTAGATCATCCCCTCGAGACTCTCCACCCGGACCGAGCAGCGCTTCCCCGAGAGGACCAGACCAGCTGGCTTCATTTCGTGCATCGCCGAATGATTACAGTATGTACCGCCATTACTCAGTCCGGGGTGCGAACGACCACGCGTACCTGTACGTCAGTCAACAGGAAACATGCCGATTGTGTAGGTCATTATGTCTCTGCGAACGTGCGACATGACGAATTGGTGCCGTCAATGATTTATCGATGGGTCCCCCGGCATGTTGTCGGTGGATGACTGCAAGTTTGTAATTTTTGATCGAAAACGTGTGATCCTCGTATGCCAAGTAGCGGGCCGTTCTGGTTGCCCTGACGTCTCGTCATCTTTACAGCGCACTTTGTCCTTTCTCTCGTACGGTAGTGAATTTAATCATGTCCCGCTTATTTTAAATTTCTTTTTTTCCCCATTCCAATTTCTTTTCTGAAATCACCAAACCATCGATTGATGGTCGGTTAATCGGTTGTCGATGATAGCATCGCGTACTTCGTACATGAACTATAACACTAACCGAAGGACCGATATCTAATCCCAAGCGGTGGAACACGACAAGCAAGCCGATTTAGAGTTGTGTAACAAATCGGACAGGCCAACCGCTGGTGACACGGTGGCTGGACAAGTGATATGTCGTATTCGAACTCACTCCATCCCAAGCCATACAGCCACGTACATACCAAGACGCAATAAAACGTACACTACAACGTACGGATTACACGTACTATCGGATATTAAATCGTTGACCGGGAAGTGACTTTGGCCCTATACGGCGGAGTATTCGTACAAACAAGTAACCAAATGGGTCGAAAAATTGAGTGGCTAAGCCAGGAACTCCGAGGAAAGGCTTGTAAATGCTTGTTGTTCTGGATGCCTCGACGTGCCTTCACGCATAGACCAAGGAAAAAGTTCGGACCAATGAATTTATTAAGCGATGACTTCGTAGATGCGTGATGCAGCAACTTATCTGCAGCTTCTGGGCATTCGACGCTCGTCTCGTGCGCCAGCATACTTCTTGCCCATTCGTGGTCCTGACTTGCTCGTTTTTCGGCTAATGGGCAAGGGGGGGAAAAGAGGAAAAAAGAAAAGAAAAAAAGGAGAACGGCCCAGCGGCTCCGGTACATGGACCAGCTTCCAGGCGGGGGAACGAAGGATTGCAGAGGGACTTGTTGAGATGGCCATAAGAAGGAGCTGAGAGGCGGGGGGACGGGCTTATGCAAGGACTGCGGCGGTTGCAGAATCGTAGGCGCATCGCAAAAAAATGCAAAATGCACCACCATCTAGCGGTCTGCAAGTCGATGGGGGGTGGTTTGGTGGGGAGGAAGCGGGAAGGAGGGGAGGGTGGCAAGAGCCGAACAAAGGACTTTACACGTAGACACAGTCTATGTATGTGCGTGTACGTTGTACGCGGACAAGGCGATGATCTACAAGCGAAGATCCGAGCAAAGGAACATTTCTTGGTCGCACGACAGCGGCATGTATGCATGGCTCAATGTTGCACCGGATCGATCGATAGACGGAGTCGATTGCATCCAAGTAACATCCACATCAAAAGAGACGGAGACATTTACACTTACTGGCAACAGGGGCGATTCGCCCATCTCATCATCCCACAGGGCGCTCCCTGCGTCCCGCTGCCACCCTACACTACACTTACTCCGCACGTAAGCTTTCTGTCGAGGACAACTTAGGGAAACGGGCAGGGTAAGTTGCCAGCTGACTCGCCGGCATACTTCGTAAAAGTGTCGAACTGCCACAGGCTGGATGCATTGACGGTTTATGTTTTTAGTAGTACGACGCCGAGACAAGGGCATGAAACCACACCTGCCGACGCGCCGCTACTGCCCTTTGTCGGCTAGACACAAAAGCTCGGGTACGATTCATATGAACACAAAGAAGAACGCAAAGCGAGTGGGCAACGATACGACGGAGGAGTGGATATGCGGAGCGATGTGGAGGTGTAGGTTAAGGTAGGTTACCTTGGAGAGTATCCGTACACTAAGGTCACAATCCCTAACCTGAGACGAGACGATCCGGAGAAGGGAACCACGGCAGTTAATTCAGAGGGAAAAGCTTAATTGCGGCATTAAGATGAAAATGTCTATGGCCCTACTTCGTAATTACAGTCTCCGCGCATCCTTTGCCTGTTTGGTTTAAAATGTCCCTTCGGAGGACGAATTTATTACTTCGTGAAATTAAATGACTGCCTTGTGAACCACTAGGGATCTTGTGGCGACCTGCCATAGTTACGAGATGCAGCTAGGGACCTGAGGAGAGAGAGAGATGTACGTTGTAGTGGCACGTAATTAGGGGCGGCCCGCACCATCAAGCGCACCGTGGAAGGGAGGGTCCATTACTTCCATTATACTACCAGGTACCTACCTACGGTACCTTACTTACTGACAACGTAGCATCCGTATAGGAATGTGTGTACCTAGCGGACTGCCAGTCCCCTAGAGTCACGGCAAATGAATGCCTGACTCGTGTCCAACGGCTTAACGCTGTAGACAGCATTTTGTTAGTTAGAGCAGAAACATTAATTTCCCATCGTTCATCGTTTATATGAAAACAGAGCACTTGTCGTGGTATCTGATGTATATAACCTCTCCGTGCTTCTCTGGCTCTTCTATTTGAGACGACTAAGAAGCATTGCTTCGGGCCATCGCTGGATGGATCCGGTGGCTTGATTAAAAAAAAAACCCCCGGTCTGTGGGAGAAAGAGAAGAAAAGAAGCGCGCTTCCTTCCACCTTCTAGCATAGTGCTCATACATGTACCTACCCTGGATTTTTCAGGGACCACTCGTACAGGTACCTAAGCCGAGCTACGAGGGACTAGGAAGCCCCAGGTCCACTTCTGCCAACCATCAAAAGACGTGAGTAAATAAAGACCGGAGTCCGCGTGCCGCTCACCGTTGACAAGGAGCATGTACTGGACGTCCTGGGGTAGGTACGGATACGCGGCTAATACTTCGGTGAACGTACCTCCTTTCTGCCCACGATCCCACGATGGAAGCCAGCGGAGCGGAACTTGCCATTTTCCATGGGCCATCAACCTGGTAGGGCAGGCATGGGCGAGAGCTAACTTCCAACCCATCCGATCTGACACGTTGGTTTAATAGATTGTGATCCCCTTCTCTCGATCCCACTCATTTTCTACCCTTTCTACCATTTCTGCCTCTCCTCCTCCTCTCGACATCCCACAAACACAAAACCGGCGGCCCCTACCTCCCCTTCCCGCCTTTGCTGACCAACCTCACACATTCTGTCTGACACGCACACGGATACGGGTACCGGACAACTCATTCTTAGCTTGGGGTCAACACGACGAAAAGGGTACAAACGTCCGACTTCCTTCCACCTACTACCGTTGTATATGCGACTTCGTGCCGGGCAGCTAGAGTTCCGCGCCCGGACGCATCCTCCTTTCTTGTTGCTGATCGCCGACCAAACAGGGGTGGGACGAACAGTGCGCTCTTGTGCCTACCTGGCTGCACTGCACTGCATGCAATTGCCATCGAAATACACTACTGCTGCGACCCTACGGAGTACATGTACGGGCTAGCTACCGGATATCCTCGAACTCGACCCGGTCGCCGTCTCTGCCGCCCCCGTCACGAGATGCAAATCCATTGGCAGAAACACTGAACCCACATCCTCACCCCAAACTTTTGCGCAACTCTCTCTGGCCTCTCTCCGCTCTGTGTCTCGCCTGTCGCACCGTGGTCTCATTTTACAAAAGTACAAAGTAATTACCGTCCCTACTTAGCGGCCCTCCCTCGACAACCCTATAACCTCAACCTACCGAAACGGATGTACGGATGCGAATCGAGCGATTAAATACCCACCCATTTATCTGTTTCACCTCCGACCGCTGCCCATCAATATAAGCTCGCACCCAATTGCTTCTCCCCTGCAAGCGGGCACGAAAAAAGGCCCTGCAAATTATTAGATACCTACAACAACTTCCAGTCCTTTATCTTCTCCTCGCTTTCTGCCCATCCTATTTCAATCACCAGCCCTTTTTTTCTTTTCCTTTCTGAAGGCGTTAGGTTGGAATATACCTAACGTCTTCCCAATTCGGTCATCACGGCTCACCCGGAAGACCCCCGGGACTTGGTTATGGATGCACTTCGCCGCATCACGAACAACGTCCCCGACTGGCTCGGCCGACTCGATAGACTCGGTACTCAGATCGATCAGCGCCAGGCCGAGCTCGCCGCCCTGGGCGGTAGCAGCTCGGCGCGGTCCATCAAGAACAAAGGTTCCACAGAGTCATTGAAGCTCAACGACCCCATCGAACCCGTCGACCCCGTCGACCCCGACGCCCGCGCCCGGACACCTGCAGCTCCCGTGACGGATGGCGCAACGAGACCGGACGGAAGGAACAGTTACCAGCCCCCCAGCCCTGGCGGTAGCGCGACGCCGTCGGCCGTGCAAAGGCAAACACAGCAGGCGGTAGCGAAAGCCCAGGCACGGGCGCGTGCCCATGTCCAGAAGCGCCACAGACCCGGGTCCATGATCTCTGCTGACAACGCCCCTACCCAATATCGATCCCGAACCATGATCATCGTCTACTACGATAGTTACGTGCAGAGCTTCTTCGAAGAGCTCGTCAAGTTCGTCTCTGCCAGCCGGAACCTCATGCGGAAAGCGAGGATGGCCGCAAAGGTCGCACAGATTCGCCGCCTCGCCGAGATGGACACGCCCCACGACAGCGAGGGTTCGGACGGGTCGGAGCTCGAGCCGGGTGCCGCCGGAGCGAACGGAGGAGATCTGGAGCCGCTTCCTTCGCTACGCTACATGAGCACAAGACGCATGGGTCCTGCAGGCCTTACGGGTCGGTTGGTGGGGGCACCGATGGCGACTGGTCCGAGGTACTCCTCTAGGACTCAGACAAGAGAAAGCGTGCTGGGAGGCGTCGGGAAGGACCCGTTCGAGGACCTGGACAAAAAATTGGAGTCTGTGCAGGCCATGTGCGAGCATGCGGCCCACCAGTTCCTCCGCCATGGCGACTGCATGGAGGACGTGGCCAAGATACAGGACCAGCTGTCCGCGACAAAAGCCCTGGCCGACAAGGAGATTGAGAGGATACAGCGGGAGGACCCGGATCTTTTGAAGGACACGAGCGAGGCGGGCAAGGCTCGAACGCATAGGCCGGCGAGCATGCGTCGAGAATACAACTATACTCGGTCCAAGAGCCCGTGCCTGTCGTCGTCGATGAAGCTGGAAGTCGACGACCGACTGGAGGTTGACGACGGGCTCGAGGCGGAACAGCCGGTTCTGACACCCGCACCGACAACGATGCCAAGGCAAACAATGGACACACCCGGCAAAATCGAGGCAGATGATGCACCTCTGGAGGCCGATGACAATGATGAGGGATTGGGCGAGATGGATATGGCGCCCCCGAAAATCCAGTTTCGGTCGACACGGACAATGCGGAGGCCACTGAAGGCATGAAGCCGTGGACCCTTTGCACTCTTACACCCAATGGACTGGTGGATAATTTCTGGCGACAGGCGGGAATATGACTAGCATTTTTCTTTTGCATTTTACTGAGCTGGAAAGGTGGAAAAAAACATATTTTTTTTTTTGCCTAAAAACATGGCTATATCGGACTGTGTTTTGGTTGGTACATCTTTTTCACCACCGCCTTCTGTCTTCCCCTTTTCCTGCTCATAGCATATGGCGATTGGTTGCACGTCTGAAGTGTTTGGGTTTTCTTTGAAACGACGGATTCAAAAAGAAAAGTGGGAAAACGGAACACGTTTCAGTTGAGACGACTGCAAACCTTGCGGTGGGATAGAACAGGCTCGGGCTCGGGCTCGGACTCGGGACTCGGGACCTGAACAGATTGGAGTAGGCATACTTGGTCTTAATTCGTTTCCACCACCGCTACGGCAGCAATAACAGGAACGGTTACGACGTTATACTTGACATTGCGTACTTTTAACTTTCGGCGGCCCTCTAAGGTAGAGTAGCCGTAGACGGAGCTAGTCGGCCGCGTTCCCGTGCGTATACATCCCTACACGGATACAATATTACGGAATGCTACACATTGCCGGCTCCTCGAAAGACCGTCGGCGCCTCCTATGGGTAGTACTAGTACTGCTACCCAAGGCTGAATTCGGAGACTATGATGCCGCTCACTCCGTTATTCGTAAATTCAGCGTCCACTTGCCTTGTTTTTATCGGCCGCCGCCCACGATACCATGTTGATACAGGAGTAAACAAGTCCAATATAGGGCATCGCGGATCGAACCGTCGAACCGTGCGCGGTCCGTAGGGTATTGCGTCGGAGGGTAAGTGTTCAACTACTCCCCGTATATCGTGTTACTGTTCATCCGATGCTCCCGTTCGTCCTCGGAGAGAACGCCTCGGATTCAAGGTCAATGTACTCCGTACTTTGTGTACCTGTACCCATATTTGGATTCGGATACCCCGCGGTGGGGCTGCACCAAGAGAGGTAGGTACACGTGTACTCCCACGGAACAGTGTAGCTACCCCTCAATACACAGTTTCAAAACACGATATTATTATGACAGCAGGACACACACAGTGCGGTGTGCACGTGGAGGCAACTGGAATTCAACGACTACCGAAAACGTCACCGCGGGGAAACCCAAAGTCAGACCAAACAAAACAACACCAGAAGACGCTAAGGCGGTCGAGGGTTGTTCACCGATCTCCAGATACAACGTACATCACGATACATCACGATCTGTCATTCCCTCTTTTCCACCGTGCTTGGTGTTTTCACCATCGGACGAGTATCTACCGCGACCCCAATCTAACCCAATTCGACCCCATCGTTCTTTGGCCGTTTCTCGACACCCAAGAAAACCAGGAAACATAGGGGTCATGGCCGAAGTCAAGGCTAACGCGGAGGCCTTGATTCCTCGGTTCAAGTTTGAGAGGCTGCTTAATCAAGGTAACGTTCGGAAGGACTCCACCCCAGCGCTTTGATTTCTCAATTTTCTTTTTTTTTCTCCTTCGGTTTCTTTTGCTTCCGTCATGTCGCGTTTCTGGCTCCAAGATAACCTCCCAACGTCCCAAGCAGATCCGTAGCTACTCATATACTAATCCAATTTCATTATATCTCTGTAGACCAGGCAGGTAGAAGATCTGCCCTTCTCGGTAGCATTGACAGCAAACCCGCCCTCATCGTACTCGAACGGGCCCCCTTCCCTACCGACACGGCCTACCTCGGCGCCGTACCCGCCTCGCTCGCTCGGCTCCGGAACTTGGGTGCAAACGATGTCTACTTTTGGTTCTTGGGCCGTAGTAACGGGCTACCTGATCCCACGACACCGACACCGACAACGGCAACGGCAACGGCGGCCGCCAACAACGACTTCTTCGCCGATCTCAAGATCAACCTCATATACCCCTGCACGGAGACGCACATCAAAAAGTACAGCAAACAACCCGTCCGGCTCGTGACGGAGACGCCGCAGATCTACCGCGACCACGTGCGGCCGTACATGCAGCGGAAGCGCGCCGAAGGGCGCCTCAACTGGGCCTACAACATCATCGAAGGGCGCACCGAGGTGGAGGACGTCATCTTCCGCACCCCGCTCGGCGCCGCGGGGGACGAGGGTTTCCTCCTCCTCCCGGACCTCAACTGGGACCGCGCGACCCTCGACGCGCTGCACCTCCTCGCCCTCGTCGAGCGCCGCGACCTCTGGAGCCTGCGGGACCTGCGCCGCCGCCACGTCCCCTGGCTGCACCACATGCGCGCGCGCCTCGTCGGCGCCACCGTCGCGCGCTACCCGTCCCTCGAGCCAGACCAGCTCAAGCTGTACGTGCATTACCAGCCGACCTATTACCATTTCCACGTCCACATTGTCCACGTCCAGCTCGAGGCCGGGGCGACCCAGGCCACGGGCAAGGCGATCGGGTTGGACGGCATCATCGAGACGTTGGAGGCCATGGGCATGGGCGGGGATGACGACGAGAAGGGCATGGACTGCATGTCTCTTAGCTACACATTAGGCGAGGCGAGCGAACTATGGACAGAGGTATTCGCGCCTCTGAAGGCGCAACAGAAACAGAAGCAACAACAATAACCACCACAACAACAACAACAATAACAATAACAGCAACAACGACAAGCAGAGAAAAGGCAGAATCTCAGTTAAGCCGGCCGTTGGTACAACTTTTCAATGTTCATCACGAGGTCATTCACGCCCGGACCGTGCGGGCAGTCTTTCCATTCCCCTCCGTCGCGGATGCAGTATACCTCTTCGTTGAGCCGGACGGTGCAGCTCAACTTCACGCCGGCCTAGCAAAAAAGGGGTGGGAAAAGCATGCCAGAATATTAGCTTGGGGTATTTTTTACACATGGCACTTTAAGATACCAAAAGAGACAAAAGGAGGGGGGGGAGGCAAAGGGCAAAGCATGGGAACTTCTGGGTCCTCTCACCTCTGTCGACCTCGTCACACTGTCCCGCAGCATGCCGACGCCGTACGCTCCATCTTCCTTGATGGCGCAGTCGTTCAGCGCCTGGAAATCAATGGCGTGTTCAAGCGCACAGGCCTCGATGAGGTCTCTCTTGGGGATGTTCCTCCAGTCGCGCGTGATGCACATGGTGAACCCGAGGTTGATCTTGGGATCGGGGTATAGCTTGGCGGCGCAGAGCTCGATGATGTTTCCCATGCCTGCGGAAGTCGTGGTTGTTAGAGTGTTCATTGCGAAGACGTTGGGTGGGAAATATAAAGAAACCGGGGGGGGAGGGTCGGGACACCAACATTCGTCGGGACCATGTCGGCAATCGACACCGTCATTTTTGGTGGGACTGGATATGATGAAGCGGTTAGCAAGCCCGGTTTGGCACGGCGTACCGCTCGTGTAAACGTACGTCCCAATGAACGATAGAGTCCAGTTGACCTTCTCGTGGACATGTATCATGGCGGGTAGAATCATGTCGCGCAGACAATCCTGTATCGTCGCCCATGGCAAGTCAGTTGTCGGTTATCATCAATGCGCCGTAAAAGACCGATCGATGTAGTATTAATCCCCCCAACCCCAGGTGCGAGGCGACTCACCCTGGCATCCGGACACTTGCTCATGATGTGAGCCTCGAGGGGTACCAGCTTGCGGTCGGCGGGTTCGAGCTGCTTCTGCACTTCGGGCGTCGACGGATGCGGCACGACGGTGTCGGGGCCATGCGGGCGGGGGACGACGGCCGGACTCGAGACGGCCCACCAGACGGTGTAGCCGGCGAAGCAGAGCATCATGAGAAGCATGATGGAACGGCCTCGGCGGTTGGGTCGGGCGGCCGGGAGGTAGAGGCCTCTCTTCTCCTCCATGGCGTTGTCGTGGGGCGGGCGCGAGGGCCGCCGTCACAATGGGTGTTGCGTTGTGTCGGGAGAATTCTCGGGTTTCCAGTATTGGAATGGCGATGAGTATGGATTCGAGATTATGGTCTAGGCGAGGAGTGAGGAGACGATTATGTGTCCATTTTGTGTTTGTGGACAGCCTTTGGATGGTTGCGAGAAATGGCTGGGGCCTATGACGATATTAAAGTACCTGGTACTTCGTAGGTCTGTCTTCTTGGAACAGAGCAGCGAAGTGGTTTAACCCAGCTGTCTCCATACATGTTTGACCTGGGGTATCAGGTAAGGTACCTAAGGTCTGTACCATCCTGACAGCGGACGACAAAGACGGCGCCTGACCTAATCCCCCAAGTCTACGACACTTTGCAAGTACTTTAAGGTACCTTAGGTACCTTATAGTAAGGTATAAGGTAACGTGAGGTAAGGTAAGGTACCTTAAGGTACCTTAGGGTCTGGAATCACTCTGTACAACAACCTTGTATTTTGGTGATACTAGGCCCGTGACTAACTTGCTACAGCAGCCCACGATATATCTAAATGCGCATATGATTTACCTCGGTCATTATCCAGCTGATATCTACCTTAGTTCTTAATTGACTACGAAGTTACGGTACTTACTCAGGGGCTACGTTAAAAAGAGCCCGGATTCGTTTCACTGCCATATCCAGCCCCCTCCACTCGTTGCGTTGCTCAACGCCTGCAGGAACTGACCGCATCAAACGGTCTTTTCCCTAGGTATTCACAGATTCAGCATCGCAAGCACAGGAATTATGGATTCCGGGTTTCAGTCACAAGAGGCCCTGGAAGACTTCCTGGGCCCGATGCTCATCGACTTCGATACCATTCATCGCCTCAGCAACGCATTCTACTCGACCTTTGTCGACCTCGCAGCCAACAATCTCGACCAGTTCCTTCCCACACCCATATCCGAATCGATTCTAAGACCTGTGGGCAAAACGGGCCAAGGAAGGTGAGTTCGATTGATGTGTATGAAAAACGAGTGAACCCGGAGGCTAACCTTTGATGTTTCCCGTGACAAGACATCTGGCCATAGATATGTAAGTAGCAGCATCAGAGCCGTTACATTATTACTGTTGCAGCCATATTTCCCATCAAACACCCCCGGCGGGTTGAAGTTCTGACCTCCTCTCAGTGGCGGAACGAACCTCCGAGTCGGGTTTATTGGACTCTCACGAGATCATGTTCACCCATCTGACAGCCTCCTCGCCAACGGGGCTACATCGGCAAATGGAACCGATGGGGCTTCGGCTTCGTCACCGCGAGTCTCTCGCCTCAAGGAGAGATCATGGCCCATCTCCGAAGCGCTCAAATCGATGGACACGACTCACCTCTTCGACTGGATAGGCGAGTGCATCGCCGCCGTCGTGGCCGAGGCTTGCCGTGACTGGGGTCTTCCTTCCGACAGGGAAATCCCCCTAGGCATCACCTTCAGCTTCCCCATGGTACAGAGATCCCTTAGCGAGGCGACCCTCATGGCCATGGGGAAAGGCTTCACCTTGAAAAGCAACCTCGAAATCGGGCCCTTGCTCCTCGGAGGGTATGAGAAAGCCCGCGGCGGCACCGACACTCTTCTCCCACCTCTCCGCATCACCGCCATCGCAAACGACTCGGTCTCGACGCTGGTGTCGTTCACCTACGAGTACGGCGAGAACGAACACCGGAAGGGATCCATGGGTCTGATCGTGGGCACGGGCTGCAACGCCACCGTGCCACTCAAGCTCGCCCGCCTCCACGAAACCAAGCGGCCCCCCGTCGTCAGCCTCCTGCCCGGCGAGTCCCTGGACGACGTCCGCATCGCCGTCAACACCGAGTGGAGCATCAACGGCACGGCCGCGCCCCTGCGCGAACTGGGCCTCGTCACCGAATGGGACGAGCTCCTCGACGCCGCCGGCGAAGTCCCCGGCTTCCAGCCCCTGGAGTACATGACGGCCGGCAGGTACCTGGGGGAGCTGGGCCGGCTCATGCTGGTCGACCACCTCCGGCGGACGCAGAGACTGGCCCCCGAGGCGCTCCCCGCCGCGCTGACGAGGAGGTTTGGCGTGACGACCACGTTCCTCAGCAAATACAAGGGCCCGGACCCTGCGACTCTTGTGCGCTTGCTCGAATCCGAGTTCCCCGGGTCGACGCCGGCGGCACAGTCGCCTCGCCCTTTCCGGTGGACGGAGGAGATGGCGGCCTCCCTGTACGACATCACCAAGGCGGTCCAGACCCGGGCTGCCGGCATTGTGGCCGCGGGAATCATTGCGCTTTTGAAAGTATCGGAAGACATCCCCGCGGGCAGGCCGACGACGACGACGACGACAACAACAACTACGACAACAACAACAACAGCAACAACAACAGCAACACGAACGGACACTTCAAGCGCCGGCGGCAAGGTCCGGGAGATAGGCGTGGGATATACCGGAGGCTGCATCGTTCACTTCCAAGACTACCTCGCCGACACGCAAGCGTTCGTCGACAGGCTCCTGGAACGGGAGTTTGGGGCGTCGCCGCCGGTCAGGGTGGTGCTCAGTCCGTGTCACGACGGGGGGATCAAGGGGGCGGGTATTCTGGCTGCCGCTGCGCAGTCGAGCATGAGGACCAAGACATGATGATGTATGTATACGGAGGGGAGTGAGGGGAGTGAGTGGAGCGGGATTTTGGGAAGGTGGCACGCGAAGATACCCAAATACAGGGAATAATCTATAGATGGTTCCG